GGATCAGTTCTCAGCTGAAGTCCACCTGGGCACTTTTCATGAAGGCCAGGCTATCAGAGTGAGCCAGCACTCTTGCCCCACCCTGTTCAAATACCCTGTTCTCGGGCTTGATAACTGGATCCAGTGAAAATCTGTATTGGAATCCGGAGCACCAGCCTTCCTCCACCTGCAGCCTGAGGAATTCTGAGCCTTCAGCAATCTCCAGAAGCCTCCGGGCACCGCTGCCCCGCTTCGCCCCCTACCTGGATGCAGCTGTTTGTGAGGCGGATCTGTCCTTCACCAGCCTCTGACTATACTTCCCGACCCACCTGAAGTTCCACAGAGGCCTCGAGGATCCTGCCCCTCTGCCAGGGAATGACCATTCGGCCATTAGCAACAAGTTGACAAATTTAACTCACATAAAGGCCTTCAGGTGTCTCTTCAATAATCAACATTTACTAATTGCCAAATACTGGTTTATAAAATATCTGAAACTAATAAGTCACCATTGTAGGGTCCCTTTTATACTAGCTGGCCTAGTGGATGAAACATGTAGGATGTTAGATATAAGTTTTACATGGGAGTCGCCACTTCAACTCTGTCTTTGGTTAAAAGCAGCCTTGTCTTGGGTCCTACCAGTAAAATGTTAGGAGAATGTAAAATGACTCTTGCTGCCTCTAACAGCAGTCTTCTTTGTTTAGTTCAAAATTAACAGACACCAGAGGCATGGGCCATGAAGTGGGACATCTGGCCTCATCCCTAACCCTGAATACCCCCTTCCTGTGCACTAGAATAGATAGCTAGAGGAATCTTAAGGTAAACTCCCTAACTACGAGGCATTGTTACATCTGGATTAAAGTTAATTGTCTGGTTACTGTAATTTGTACCTGAGTAATGTGAGTTGAGGAAATGAAATGTAACCACCTGAATGATATAACTGTAAAACCTATAAAAGAGAAAGCTGCAACCCAGTAGGTGGTCAATCACTGGCACTGCCTTTCTGAGTGATTCGACCTTTTGTTGACAAAATAAACTTTTTATTATTTTACTTCCATTCAGCTCATCTCCATGTGCATGTCACTTGCCAATTCCTTCTGCAACAAGAGAATAAAAATAATATGTTAAGTACATGTACCTACTCTCTAAGATGAATATAAACATTATGTGCTGCAAATGTATACTAATAAAGAAAAAATGCACCATCCTCACTTTCCTTTTATAAAGTTCATATTAGGGGCCAGGGATTTAGCTCAGCGATTTGGTGGCCTGCCTTGCAAGCACAAGGACCCGAGTTCAAGCCCCGGTACCAAAAAAACAAAATTAAATTTTAAAAAAAAGTTCATATTAGGTACATTACCCTTTGATGAAAGCTAGAAGTACCCTGTTACAGTATAGTTTCTCAAAGGCATTTCTAAAAGGTTAATCAACATGGTTCAAGCATTAATTGAATACCTATTTCAGAACAACTACTTCACATCAGGTTTTTTGCTGGATGCTTTGTATGCATAAGTGAATAAGACCCTGCCTGGTCTTGTATATTTCCTGCTTCTGTGCCAAATTCATGCAGGGCTGCCTAGGCCTTCTATCTCCTTGAAATAGATCTTTCAGGTTGAAACTTCCAGAGACCCCATAGACAGATTCCAGCATCCACTGCCCAGTAAATGACAGGCCTGAGAAAAAAATACACTGAGAGCCAGAACTAAGAGAAAGTGGGGTGCCAGGACAACCAATGCCAGTGCAACCAACAAAAGCGCTGGCCAGTCCCAGGCACTGACTTTTATTGGCAATCAATTGGGGAGAGGTGACATGTGGTTTCTATGGAAATTAATGTAAACAAGGCTCAGAAAGGACAAAAGCATTCTCAAATTAGGAACAGAATAGATAAAATACATGATCGTAATTAGAACATTGTCCCTTCTAGTTTAAAGGTGTCAGCTGTGGAAACAGAATTTGGGTTTGAGTTACCCTGACCTCAGCATGTAGGCTTTGGCCAGACTCGCTTCTCTAAACAGCCAATCGTGGGATGAACTCTTCACAAACTCCTTTGGGCATCATCAGTATTAGAGTCTTCTGCAGAAGACATTTGTCAGGTTTGCGGCTGCCAGGAATCTTCTGAATACTATTCCTCTATCTGGGGATTTCTCCCCACAATATAACTCCTGCCTCAAGACAAAAGACAACTCAATGTCCAGCCTTTCTGAGAACAGAGCACAAGCAGTGACTTAGGTACGGCCGAGTGACACAGCTATGGAATTCCCGGATTGAGAGGAGGGCAACCCAAGGAAACGCACTTCAGGAAATGTTCGTTCCCAAGTCACAGTAAGTGTGGGGAACCTAGCTTCCCAGGCAGCATTCATGAAGGCCTGGGGACCCAGGATCCAGTGGTGTAACCATGGCAGCATCTCGTGCAGATGACCCACAGAATGGCTTGTTTCGGCCTGTGTAGACTGTAAGCCTCTCTAGCTGTCCCAGAGGTATCATGAACTACCAAAGATTCCCAACTGCTTACCTTTTAAAATCAGTGGAAGTGAGTTCTGTTCTTTGCAAAGAAACACATACTGAACCACGATTTGCTAAAAATAAAAACTGAACTAGAGTTTTGGCACACTTGTTACTTATAGTTTTAAAAATTAAGGTACATATTATTTAGCTTTAAAAAAACAGATTAAAATCACTTCATTCGTTCTATAAAGGCCTACCTACCATGTGCCAGCCACTGGAAACAGACTATGAAATAAAATTACTCCCTGCAACTATAATAAATAACACGTTGTACTTTAAATGTGCCCCTCGAAGGAATCCGACCACTGCCACCGATCAGAGACCCCTCTCCCGCCTCCCCCACCCAGCACAGGGACACAGCGGACTCCTGTCAGACCTGCCCAGGACAGCAGCCCTACTCCCCGCGTCCCCAAGCCTCGGCCTGGTCCGCGTCACCCCTGTGCTCTCCCAGTCCTTGTTCTTGAGCTATAGCCCCTCTCCTGAATCCCACTGTCCGCCACCCTGCAGAAGACCCCTTGGCCTGCAGGAGAGCGGCCGGTCTGGTCTCCAGTGCCACAGCCGTCCCTCTTGGGTCTGTTCTGCAGTAACCCTACTCCGTGGAGCTCCTACCTCTGTTCTTTCCCTTTTTCCTAACACCATGCCAAAATAAGACACCAGTGCAGTTGTCTGGAGAGGATCTCCGGCCAGCCAGACCCCATTTTAAATATAGAAGACCCCTAAAAATAGCCATCCGTGTTCTGGGCTCCACGGGTGATTGGCTGAAAAGGAGGGAGGAGAACGGAGGCTCAGGGAAGGAGAGGCAAGGACAGCGCCATTCCCGGCTCGTCGCGCAGCGATGGCTCTGCCTCTGAGGGTCCTGAGGAGGGGCTTCGCCAGCGCAGCCAAGGGAGACCACGGAGGAGCAGGAGGTGAGTGTCTGCCGCTCTCCCCACCGGTCCGCGCCC